CACAATTAACAATGTTGTGAGAAGCCAAGGGAGAAAGCCCAGTTTGTGGGATAGAGCGGTGAAAAAAAAAACGTAATGGCAAGGGAGAAACCATCAAAGCTAACTCGCCTTTCTGTTCAACTTTTTACATTTGCTCATGTTACTTCAGTTCAAAATCGCAGAATCGCACCATTCCTGATTTAGTAAGAACATAAAGTTGTGTGGTTTAAAAGAATCCGGTAATCAGTTTATGTGATAGAAAAGAACGGACATTAACTGATTATGGAAAGCAAACAACTCAGAGCAAGACTATATGTTAGAAAAAAATCGCTCTGCTATAAGTATACACGAAAGTAATAGCCGATTATGATAGTAAAGAACTTGACAACTTACATAAAAATTCAGAAAGATGACAGACTAACCCATTGCGGAAGATAGCACTTCCCCTCAGGAGCAGAGAACTCCAACACTCCACAATTTGTAGCTCGAGGAGATTCACCGGTAGAAGACACCTTAGAGTAAATAGCTAGTCTATACTTTGTTATTTATTTATTCATAAACTGCACAAGAGTACCTTAAATAGCATAGGATATGGCACGTTATAACGAATGAGATAATCCAACGTCGAATTTGGCAGTAAAATCTGAACAGTTCCACATAACACTCTAAAGGAAGATTTCTTTAACACGTACCTTTCCACCGTGATTTAGCTCATTGACTTTGGCCGCGTCTGCATCAAAAAATGCAGCTGAGTATGCCCTCATTGTGCAGCTGTAATGACCCCCAAATCCTCCTCCCATTCCCATCATTCCACTTAGGATATTCATCATGTTACGAGTGCTTTGTTTATACCTGCAAGACAAAATCTTAGCCGAAGCAATGTGGACGTGGCAAAAACAAGTTGCAAAACAAAAGCTTTCAAAGTAGTGAATAGAACTGCGTAGCTGTGGCGAAATTCTGTTCAACTGTGTGACCGCACAGCAAGTTCCACATGCTGCCTTATAGTCAGTCCGCTAATTGCGTGCATTCCGTCAGTGCTAAGTGCAGGTAAGTATTTTCCATCCATTTTAATTTTTTTCCGGACTTCATTCATATTCTCGGTCCAAACACATCATAATGGCCAATTTTTATTAACCTTTTAAATCGCCCTTTTTCTCCTACCTTCAAGCTAACCAAGAAAGCGCGCAGGTAAAACTTTTGGTGTAACTTTATTGCTGCCCTAATTTTGCAAAATGAAAAACAACTTGATTTATATTTCTGTTTTTTTATCACTTCCCCTCCTGCCTCTTTAGCAAAAACATGCAAGAAACATAGAAAGCTGAATTCGGAAGAGGGTAAGGGTAGATAAACAAACATTACACTTACTTCTAAAAGTGTTGTTTACAGCAATGGGAAC